AAATCAGAGGGAACCGGTGTGCGATGCATAAGACGGTGAAAGAAGCAGAGATTAAGTCTCATGGGTCGAAGCCACAGGGGCTCGAGTTTAAGTACAGCACAACGCTCCTGGTAACTCACTTGGGTCGAAAAGCCTAGTAATTGATTGGTGAATTTGCTTTGAACTTTTTCCAATGTTGACCTGTCAGTTTTGCGGACATTTGTGAAGATGACGAGGCAGTATTCGAGGGACGGTCTTACGAAGGATAAGTAAGATAGGAGTTTAGCCTCGGGTAGTATAAGAGGCTTTGTGAGAAAGCCGATATTTTTCCGTGCCTTGGCTACTTGGAAGGGGATATGCTCAGAGAAGTTGAGGTACGATGAGTAGTGCAGGCCAAGGTCACGTATGGATTGGTTGTGAATAATGGGTGACCCATGAAAAAGAAACGAATTTGGGTGGACCTCACATCGCATGATGACTGTTTTCTCACAGTCCAATTCCGTTTCATTTATATTCGGTTGATTGGAGGCGTCGTTTAGTAACAACGAAGCTGCTACCCTCGGCTTTCTTATATCAGCCCCTTACTCTTCAGTACTGAGGGCAGAGGGCAGGGTGCCCGTGTAAGCCCCGTCACCACTGGGTCGAAGGTTCGATCACAAGTGGTCGTTCCTTCCTAGCCTTTTCAGGTGCTCATCCAGACGCCGTTTGAAAGCAGCGTCTGTCTTCTCTTCCACCACGATAGCTGAAAGGGAATTCCAGAAACATTTTGACCTCCACGAGAGTCGATAGACTACCAAAAGGCCAACTGACTAAAATTTCCGCAACGTGAGAGAGTGCCCCCGTTTGCGGTTCTCTATCCGTAAAGGGAAGTACTGTTGCAGCTCCGGGCCCATGTAACCTCTCAATATCTTTCTCAGACAGATGAGATCTCCCCTCCGGCGTAGTACATTGTACACGCTCCAACTCCTTGCAGGGGTATGTCGCCGAACCAACATTCTCAAGCCTTGCTCTGACATGGGAAGAATACAGCAGTTTGAAAGCGTCCATCATGAGCTGGTGGAAAGACCGCCGAATAGGTCCCAGAATCCTCCATGCGTTGGCACACACCCGATCGGTGTTTTCTCGGGTCTTTAGTGATGACGTAACCATAACTCCCAGGTCTCGTTCGCACGGTGTTCTGCGCAATGTGGTTCCCTGTAAGTCTTAGACTACCTCTGAGTCAGCACGCTCCAAGTGCAGGTGAGCACACTTAGCTATTGTGGTTGGAAGAGCCTAGGTGTCCACCCCCTGAGCTAGGTTGTTCAAATCCGCCTGAAGAGAACTTCGAGCATTCGGATTCTTGATTGTACGCCTGATTTTGATGTCATCCGCATACATGAGGGATGGGCCGCACAGTTGACCGGGTAGCTCGTTCACATGAACCACAAACAGCAATGGACTAAGAATCGAGCCTTGGGGGACCCCACTGGGAGCGGAATACCACGCAGAGAGCAATTGCCAACACGGAGGCAGAAGTTTCAGTCGATGAAGGTTTCTCAACCAACTCCGCATGACCACACCTACACCTAGGTT